GTCGGACCCCGTCTCTCGCCATTGCGGGCCTGGCCATTGAGTAATAGACACGAAAAAGGCCATTTTAATGCCCGCGGGGCGGAAAGAAATTCAAAAACAATTAGTTAAACTAATAAAAGAAGGCATCTAAATAAATACATTTTATAAAATATAAATTAAATACAAAAATGTTAAATTTTGTTATTTTTCAGAGCCGGTTGTTACAGAAGATTATCGTATTTTAATTAATTAATTTAAAACAAAATGAGCATTGATAATTTCATTTTGAAATGTAATCGCATTCAACAATGTCGAACAACAGATAAGTAATACATAATTATCATTTAATCTGTTGAAAACTATTATTAGATGCTGCGAGATATGCAGTTTGCTTCGTTATCTATCGATTGATGAATGAATCGCCGGTAAATACCTTTTCCTTCCCCCAAAGATTCCTCATTTATTCTTTAATATATACGACTTTATACACTATAAAGAGAAGCGTGTTTACATAATATTTCACCATCTCTTAAAAGTTATTTAAGTCCAACCATATTTTATTTAATAAACTTATAACACAAGCACCTATCTCGAATTTTCGATCAATTTTCCTATTTACACGTTTCCCTGATTTTAAAAAATTTTAATATACCAAGAAAAATTCAAAATTAAAGAAGGATGACAGCGCTTTAATTACTTTTACCCCAAGTATATTGTTATAATTATTTATTTTTTCAAAAAACATATCAAGTTCTTTAATCGAAAGATAATTTATTATTAGATTTTTTTAAATTTCCAATTATTTTGTGCTAAATTTGGCTATAAACTAATCCCTAATTCGATGAATACGGTAACGATGCGACGGGAACGCCCCTAATAGCGGGATAATGAACTAAAATTTTACTTTGGAAGCTCGCAAATGTACTGTAAAGAAATAGAAATTTCGAGACGTAACGATTAAAATTTAATATTTTCGAAGAAAACAATGACATTTTATCAGTTCGCTGCACGTTAAACAACATTGCGTAAATATATTATTATCGAATGCTACTTCTGCAAATGACAAAATATTAATAACTTCATACATTTTAGTGTCGTATGATCCGGATTACTACTACTTTCCAATTTATTTTAGATAAGATATGTAATAAAAAGTAACACGAAAGCGTATTGTTAAATTAAAGACATTTTCCGTGTTGTAGCAGTAAAATTCGGATTGCTACAGTAAAATTTATATGTCGTGTCTCGTAACGCGGTTATTTCTGCTCGGAATACTTTTAACAAAATTTGAAATTTTATGAATATTACTCGGCATTAATTTCACCAAAAGGATTATCTTAAAATAAAATCAATTTATAACGCTTCCGTTAATTGCATTTACATTTAGATTTAATTAAAAACAACATTAAATAGGGTAATAAAAACTTATATTAATATTTTATATAAAATTTAAACATTTCTAAATTATTTCATTTCGAAAAATACTAATTTAATTTTGCGCTAAATTTGGGCTATAGATTAATTCGTATTCTGACGAAGGCGATAATAAATTCGATAGAAGCGCCTCTAATAGCGGAAATAGGAATTAAAATTTCATAATTTTAAATTTCGTATACGATAAATGTTATTTATTTTCTAAAAAATCTAATTTTATAACTAAAAATATATTTTACCAAAGAATAAAGAAAAACGAGAACTTAAAACTAGAAAACATTTCAATCCAATTTGAAAAAAATTCACTCAACAATCGAATTTTCTTAATGGTCGAAATTTCATTCAATCCACTATTAAACTTCATTTCTGTTTATTTTTCCTACAAAACATTAAACTATGATTATTTTTGTATTTTGGAATGTTTTTTCGTTTGAATTACAACTTATTTACTTTTTAAAAGCCGTATTAATTCCAGATTAGACTGTATCTCGACTTTTCGTAACAGGGTTTTTTAAAATGATAGTTAAGATTAAATACAGTTTAAAAGAATTACCCAAAGAGCAAAAACATTAATAATATATTTAAATCAAAATACACCGAACGACGGCCGCATAAAAAATGGCCATTAAAGGTTCGGCTCTATAATTGTACAGCCGGGCCAATTTAATAGAAAATGGCAGCGAGCAATGTTCGGAAGAAGCACTAAATTAGAGTAAAAGTGTCTCGACAGTTTATTCCCCTTTCACATTTCGGCATTACATAATATAGTCTGAGGAGGCTAAGGAAAAATCGACCTTTATTTTGAGGTTCTTCCGCCTCAATATCCGAAAAAAAAATATGCAAAAATGGCGGACGAGAGCCCGAAAATAATCCTGGGCACTCCTTAGACTACGTTATCCAATCATTAAATGTGAAAGGGAAATAAACTGTCGAGACACCTTTAATTTAATGCTTCTTCTGAACTTGTAAATTGTAATTATAATTGTCATCCTGGTGTTTTAACGATACTTTTCATTAAATTAAAAAGAAAAATACTATAAAATTTTTGAAAAGTGATGAAAAAAGACTACAATATTGGAGCCACTCGAAACCCTCTTTTTCCGCTGTGTACGGTGCGCTTTTAGAAAGCCTCCTTCGCTTTGATTACGTGTACAATGATTCGCCAACTCCCTGGTATTAAAGAAATAACTAATTAAACTGTTCTGCAAATATTTTCTAATAGTTTACTCGTCTGGTTTACAAGAACCGGGGCTAGACTCGTGGCCCTAAGTTATAACGTAACAGGCCCTTCTCTTTCCCAAATAACCATACAATTTGAAGCCTTAAGCTATAGACCAGGCCTTAAACTGCAGCCTAATACAATTAAAAAGAGATGACGCAGATAAGGCCTCGATCTTCCACTTACACGTAATTAATGAACGGGCCGTAAATATTACCTTAAGGCCAAAAAGTCTCGAATATGGTCATTTATTGCTTAACAAAATGTATACAAACCAACTAAAATGAATTACATTTAAGAATTAAATAGTATTATTATCTTATTATCTTTTAGAAAGTGATAACCCCTTTAAAGTCTTAACGATAATTAAATTTTGTTGTCAAAAGTTATAAAATTATTAATTTTAGCTTAATTACTTTTCGTAAACGTTAGCGCATTAAGTGATTGTTTATAGTTGAAAATCACTAAAATTTTCTAATAAAACTAAGTAAATTCGATACAAATTATCTACACAGTAAGATCATTTGATTTATGAATTCGGGCTTAAATCTGTTGCTCGTGATAATTAATTAAATTTTTGAATTATGAGAATTCTAAGTAAGAAGTTGATTCAAATTGAATAAAGTGATTAGTTTACATCGCAAATCGAATAAATTGACGTTATACAGTTAAACCTCTCGATAACGGCCATTCTTCCAGCAACGTTTTCTTTTTGAAATACACGCAAAATAACTTCTAAACGACGGCCATTTTTACGGTCGTTGTTTAGAAATTATTTTGTGTTATAATACAGTTTAAAATATAGTTAGACCTCCGAACAACGGTCGTAAAAATGGCCGCTGTTTCGAGGTGGCCGTCATTGCAGGTTCGACTATAGTTTGCGTAATAAATCCAATAACTTTATTCCTTCTTTAAAATACGAGTTTATTACACGATAAAATATATTAAATATTAACTAAACTCTTTAAAAAATTTTAAATGTTTAATTTTTAAGAGGAAAAGTATATATTTTTTATATGTAAATCATAGTTTATTCCACGCTACAACAGTAAATTGATTTTCGACATTATCCTAAATTTTCTAATAAAATCGTGAAAAATAGAAACAATTTTGGCATAAATTTCAAATTAATTTGAAAGAAAAACGATCTTTTAAATATCTAATTTACAGTTTATTGTATTTTATAATAGTAAATCGATCCAGGAAATTATTCGGAATATTTTAATAAAATCATAAAATATGTAAATTCATTAAATTTAAATTAATTTTAATTAATTTATGTAAAAATATAAGCGCACGAACATCATTAAACGAAGGTAAAATATCATCCAAGTAATATTAAATACGTTTAATTAATTTTATAAAATAATAATAATAGAACGGTACAAAGTTTTTATTTTAGGTGACGTTTTAAACGAGTTTTTTAAAATAAATTTAAGCAATTATAACGATTATTAAGCAGATTTTTATTTCAATTTTTTATATTCTCGTGCCAAAAATCAATATTTTAAAGACGGTATTTTAATATAAAAATCACTACTTTTTTAAATAAATAAATTCCGCTTAAATTTATAATTTTTTTAATAAAATAAAATCGAGAGAAACCTTGTTTTAACGCATCTCGATTTAACGTTATCCCCATTTTTTATTGCCGCATAAAATCCGAAACCTCCTATTGTAAGCTTGCCTCAATCCACGCTCAAACGCTAAATAGGGGTTTCCGCGTTAATCATTTTTTGGGCGAGTTTTATATAATATAATTTAAATAATAATATTTTTTAAGAAGAAAAGTTTTGACAGATTCTTCGCGCACACATAAAAAAATTAATAATTACTAAAAAAAATCGCTCACCCCACAACGACTTTCCTATATTTAACTTAATTAATTATTAAGAAAATAAGTGAAAAAATAAGTTTATTAATTAACAAATTAATAAACTTTGATATTTTTTTACGCCAAACTCATTAATTATCCTCTTAAACTCGCTGATATTTTAACGAATTTAAGTAAAAACGCGCAACCTTACATCGAGCGCTTCCTTTACACTCCTTATTTACACTAAAATAAATTAGACGTCCCATATTAGAGATATTTAATTATAATTAAATAATTTTTAAGAATTTTTAGAAAAAATGGGCATTTTTAAAATGCTGTTTGATGGAAGTCGAGTACATCCATCCCCTGTATCATAAAATAATAGACTACTATTATTGACAGAATCGCGATTAGACTCGTAACGTATGACGGGCCCACCCCTCTACTAAATAACGATACGTGCCGGGCCTTAGTCGTAACGCCAGGCCCTAATTGCGTTAGCTTACGCGTAATGGCGAGGGTGGAGATTGAGAATATATGTACTGTACTTACGTCGTTGGCATCGTACGCTGGATATCTCCAATCGACAGATCACTTTGGGGTAGTGAGGAAGCCACCGTTTACGTTCCAGACGCGAAGGTGTTCGCGTTCGTACTGACTGTCGAACACACCAACGCAGCCTCCACTCCACTCGGTGCATGCTCATCAACGTCACCCCACTGTCGATACCGGTTACTCTATTGTTTACATTCTACACTCCTCCTCCGACGCTTTCGTCTTAAATGGTGATTTTATTTTTCTTTTCTCTTAATTGTAAACACCTATATCTTTGTCTTTCTCTTCGGATTTACAATTTACATCATTTGTAATATGTACAATTAATTTTTTTTAATTTACAATTGCCGAGTGTTTAATTATCAACACGAAAATCTTGTGTTTAACAATCGTAATTTTTTATATTAACAATTAATTTTATAATTTATTAATTAATTTAATAATTCTTCTTCGTTGGTATAAAAATATTATTATTATTTACGTAAATTTATTATAATATAAACGCGGAGTGGCTCGATNTAGTTTCTGAATAATGTTCGTTAAATAACAGTAATCAAGAAGCATAAATCATAAAAATATTAATAAGAATGTTGTGTATAGTGAACGGTACACGAGTACGAATGGGAGTAATTAGAGAATACAGAAGCCACGGAAGGCAGCAAAGTATAAAGTAATATCGATAATATCTAATGTCAACCTTATTCGGCCAATAACAATCAATATCAATTACGTCCACCAGTCGTAATAATAAATACTCTCCAGGGAAAGATTAATAATATATCCGGACTATTTATATATATATAAATTTTCATTTATTTATATATAAAATTTCGGTATTTTACTCCTTTTTTTAAAAAAAACAAAGTAAACGAAGAAAGTATTAAAGTTCAATTTGTCGAGAAGAAAATATTGATGAAAGCGTCAGTCTATCGCTCTGGGGGACTCGGGATCGAATCCGGGAGATCGATAAACCCCAGGAATTTTTCGGATGTAGTGTGTTTTGACCCGTTTCTCACCACCTGGCTGCCTATTGCGGGTCTGATTGAACACATTGCGCTGTGGAAAAAGGCCTTCTTAGTGTCCACGGGACGGAAAGAGTCTAAAAAGGCCCTTCTGGTACGGGGTGGAAATAGTTCAAAAACGATCTCTTAGGGCCAACAGAGTGGAAAGAGTGCGAAAAACAAGGTTCTCCTAGTGCCTCCAGGTTGTAAATAATCCAAAAAGGCCTTCCCAACCCTCACAGGGTGTAAGAGTCGAAAAACGGGTCTTCTTAGTGATTACAGGATGGAAAAAGTAAAAAAAAATTCCTTTTATTACCTCCATATTATAATAATACAGAAAAAATCTTAGTACCTATAGGCAAAAAGAGTTTAAAAGGGCCTTTCTAGCGCTCACAGGGTAGAAAGAGTTTTTAAAAAAAGACTTCTTGTTGAGGTTTTGCATGCAAAACCACTCGAAGTGTTTGATGACGTATANAATATAACAAAATGCGAGTATATTCCGAAGTTAAATGATAGCGCACGAATTAATTTAAGTAACAAAATATTAATATATAAAATATTAGAACGGCCGGATGGCCGAAGCGGTTAAGGCCTCTGTCCCTTTGCAGGACACGGAATAGAATTCGGCGATTAACCCTCCAGGAATTCTTCGTCAGTGGTCTATCCCGCGCTCCGTCCCACACCATCGCTCCTGGAACCCGGAATCAAATACGGACGTGTCGAAAAACCTCAGAAATTTTTTGGGGGTGGTCCGTACAAATATGTCGGACCCCGTCTCTCGCCATTGCGGGCCTGGCCATTGAGTAATAGACACGAAAAAGGCCATTTTAATGCCCGCGGGGCGGAAAGAAATTCAAAAACAATTAGTTAAACTAATAAAAGAAGGCATCTAAATAAATACATTTTATAAAATATAAATTAAATACAAAAATGTTAAATTTTGTTATTTTTCAGAGCCGGTTGTTACAGAAGATTATCGTATTTTAATTAATTACTTTAAAACAAAATGAGCATTGATAATTTCATTTTGAAATGTAATCGCATTCAACAATGTCGAACAACAGATAAGTAATACATAATTATCATTTAATCTGTTGAAAACTATTATTAGATGCTGCGAGATATGCAGTTTGCTTCGTTATCTATCGATTGATGAATGAATCGCCGGTAAATACCTTTTCCTTCCCCCAAAGATTCCTCATTTATTCTTTAATATATACGACTTTATACACTATAAAGAGAAGCGTGTTTACATAATATTTCACCATCTCTTAAAAGTTATTTAAGTCCAACCATATTTTATTTAATAAACTTATAACACAAGCACCTATCTCGAATTTTCGATCAATTTTCCTATTTACACGTTTCCCTGATTTTAAAAAATTTTAATATACCAAGAAAAATTCAAAATTAAAGAAGGATGACAGCGCTTTAATTACTTTTACCCCAAGTATATTGTTATAATTATTTATTTTTTCAAAAAACATATCAAGTTCTTTAATCGAAAGATAATTTATTATTAGATTTTTTTAAATTTCCAATTATTTTGTGCTAAATTTGGCTATAAACTAATCCCTAATTCGATGAATACGGTAACGATGCGACGGGAACGCCCCTAATAGCGGGATAATGAACTAAAATTTTACTTTGGAAGCTCGCAAATGTACTGTAAAGAAATAGAAATTTCGAGACGTAACGATTAAAATTTAATATTTTCGAAGAAAACAATGACATTTTATCAGTTCGCTGCACGTTAAACAACATTGCGTAAATATATTATTATCGAATGCTACTTCTGCAAATGACAAAATATTAATAACTTCATACATTTTAGTGTCGTATGATCCGGATTACTACTACTTTCCAATTTATTTTAGATAAGATATGTAATAAAAAGTAACACGAAAGCGTATTGTTAAATTAAAGACATTTTCCGTGTTGTAGCAGTAAAATTCGGATTGCTACAGTAAAATTTATATGTCGTGTCTCGTAACGCGGTTATTTCTGCTCGGAATACTTTTAACAAAATTTGAAATTTTATGAATATTACTCGGCATTAATTTCACCAAAAGGATTATCTTAAAATAAAATCAATTTATAACGCTTCCGTTAATTGCATTTACATTTAGATTTAATTAAAAACAACATTAAATAGGGTAATAAAAACTTATATTAATATTTTATATAAAATTTAAACATTTCTAAATTATTTCATTTCGAAAAATACTAATTTAATTTTGCGCTAAATTTGGGCTATAGATTAATTCGTATTCTGACGAAGGCGATAATAAATTCGATAGAAGCGCCTCTAATAGCGGAAATAGGAATTAAAATTTCATAATTTTAAATTTCGTATACGATAAATGTTATTTATTTTCTAAAAAATCTAATTTTATAACTAAAAATATATTTTACCAAAGAATAAAGAAAAACGAGAACTTAAAACTAGAAAACATTTCAATCCAATTTGAAAAAAATTCACTCAACAATCGAATTTTCTTAATGGTCGAAATTTCATTCAATCCACTATTAAACTTCATTTCTGTTTATTTTTCCTACAAAACATTAAACTATGATTATTTTTGTATTTTGGAATGTTTTTTCGTTTGAATTACAACTTATTTACTTTTTAAAAGCCGTATTAATTCCAGATTAGACTGTATCTCGACTTTTCGTAACAGGGTTTTTTAAAATGATAGTTAAGATTAAATACAGTTTAAAAGAATTACCCAAAGAGCAAAAACATTAATAATATATTTAAATCAAAATACACCGAACGACGGCCGCATAAAAAATGGCCATTAAAGGTTCGGCTCTATAATTGTACAGCCGGGCCAATTTAATAGAAAATGGCAGCGAGCAATGTTCGGAAGAAGCACTAAATTAGAGTAAAAGTGTCTCGACAGTTTATTCCCCTTTCACATTTCGGCATTACATAATATAGTCTGAGGAGGCTAAGGAAAAATCGACCTTTATTTTGAGGTTCTTCCGCCTCAATATCCGAAAAAAAAATATGCAAAAATGGCGGACGAGAGCCCGAAAATAATCCTGGGCACTCCTTAGACTACGTTATCCAATCATTAAATGTGAAAGGGAAATAAACTGTCGAGACACCTTTAATTTAATGCTTCTTCTGAACTTGTAAATTGTAATTATAATTGTCATCCTGGTGTTTTAACGATACTTTTCATTAAATTAAAAAGAAAAATACTATAAAATTTTTGAAAAGTGATGAAAAAAGACTACAATATTGGAGCCACTCGAAACCCTCTTTTTCCGCTGTGTACGGTGCGCTTTTAGAAAGCCTCCTTCGCTTTGATTACGTGTACAATGATTCGCCAACTCCCTGGTATTAAAGAAATAACTAATTAAACTGTTCTGCAAATATTTTCTAATAGTTTACTCGTCTGGTTTACAAGAACCGGGGCTAGACTCGTGGCCCTAAGTTATAACGTAACAGGCCCTTCTCTTTCCCAAATAACCATACAATTTGAAGCCTTAAGCTATAGACCAGGCCTTAAACTGCAGCCTAATACAATTAAAAAGAGATGACGCAGATAAGGCCTCGATCTTCCACTTACACGTAATTAATGAACGGGCCGTAAATATTACCTTAAGGCCAAAAAGTCTCGAATATGGTCATTTATTGCTTAACAAAATGTATACAAACCAACTAAAATGAATTACATTTAAGAATTAAATAGTATTATTATCTTATTATCTTTTAGAAAGTGATAACCCCTTTAAAGTCTTAACGATAATTAAATTTTGTTGTCAAAAGTTATAAAATTATTAATTTTAGCTTAATTACTTTTCGTAAACGTTAGCGCATTAAGTGATTGTTTATAGTTGAAAATCACTAAAATTTTCTAATAAAACTAAGTAAATTCGATACAAATTATCTACACAGTAAGATCATTTGATTTATGAATTCGGGCTTAAATCTGTTGCTCGTGATAATTAATTAAATTTTTGAATTATGAGAATTCTAAGTAAGAAGTTGATTCAAATTGAATAAAGTGATTAGTTTACATCGCAAATCGAATAAATTGACGTTATACAGTTAAACCTCTCGATAACGGCCATTCTTCCAGC